TTTTTCTAATTTTGTAGACGTAAGGAGACTTTGACGAATTGACCAGCAAAGGCTTCAAATGCGGGAAAAAGAGATTTCGCTGAGTTTTTCGATTCTAAACTTGGAACCATAGCAAGAAAGCGTGAAAGTGCTCTTTTTACTCATTTTATCTTCTGTAGAATTCTTTTCTCGATGAACTCTATAAGTTTCCACTAAAGTTTTCCTTCCGATATCCTTAATTGTTATTTTCCCTCGGAACGAAAGGCAGACGTTTTCCAGGTCATTGTGCCAGTGACGAGACGGAACCGCAACTGTACCGATACAAGGAGGAATGCGAGGACGCATGTATCAATCCACCACCAGGTCAGCGAAAAAATACCATTGATGGAATTGGAGATTTGAAGTGTAAGAGTGCGTGATGAACCGTTGATGAAGTGTCGAATTCTTTAGCTAATCTGGGGTCCCCAAAAGAAGATGCCGCTACCATGGCTACGTTAGGGAGCGAGACAAGGACCGTAGCGACAGAAAAGGTTGAACCCAGCACTACTAAACAGGTATGATAATAAAAATAAGCATGAACGCATGAGCACTCTAACTTTTCTCGTCGTTAACTCTATCAAGTTCCAGATTTTTAACTTTCCTGTCGTCTTTTTTCATGCATGTAATTCTCGTACCAGGTTTTCACAACAACCACGCTAGAGACAACAACTACCCCAGAAGAGACCACTAGCACCACATCTGCACCCACGACTACCACTGAAGAATTGACTTCTTCTACATCTACTTCAACTTCATCTTCTTCGACTAACACCCCTGAAACCACCAGTGCTACCAGCACCACCGCCGAAGTTACCACTACCACCCCCGAAGTTACCACCACCACCACCACCACCACTGAGGCAACCTCTACCACCACAGAATTTCTGAGCACTACTGAAAGCTCTACCCCTGCATCCACGACGGAAACGTCCACGACCACCAGTGAAGCATCTACATCACCTAGCACCACTAGTACCACCACTACTGCACCCGTTGCAAATCGTATCGAAGGTCGAACATTTGGTGTTAAGGCACAAACCACGGAAAGATCGTCGACGACTACTTCGACCACTGCCGTGCCGAGAACAGGTGAGATAAGCACTTTCTGGCCTAGTTTAATGTCCTTTCCTCCCCTTAGTTCAGAAACATTTCTCTTAAAATCCCTACATTCTGGAACATTTTTTCAAGAATCTTCAAAAAAGTTTTGAGAATCAGCAACCCGAATAGAGCTTTCAAATTATATGATGAACTTTCGAAAAACCATAAGTGCCTTGATCTTATCTGGAAAACGATTGAAAGGGTTTAGACCTTTGCCTAAGCGGCACTCTGACATTCATCCACGAGAAGTTTACTTGCAATACCTGCCCAGACCGTACTCTCTCCTACAAGCGGACCAATTATTGTCGACTGCTGCAGGAAGTACGGTCCGGGCTAGAGTCAGGACCCGGCATGAGTTCGTTCTAGGCTTCTTAAAAACGAATCCCCTTCAACTCTCAGCCCTAGACCGCAAAAAACCCTAATGGAATGTCGACTAAAAAACGTTACAACTTTTGGCCTCAAAAACGATATTCCTTTTGCTTTTTCGCCCCAAAAAACTTCAGCCTGCTTCCATACAGTCTGTGCCGGTCCCTGGCTAGAGTTCAAATTTCTTGGTGTTAAATAAAATTAGCGCCGTTTGCACAATGGCTTAGTAAAGGCCTCTCTTAGTTTTCACATAGGAGAACCAAATCTGCCTTAGAGTGAGAATTCTCCATCTTCCTTCACAAATATTCATGTACCGCCAAAATCTTATGATTTTTAGATAACACAACGAAATTGTTGTTTTTTAACTTGAACAATGCAATTCATAAAAAAAGGAAGATACTCATCCGCACTGTTTTCGAGACATTTAAGATAACCTCAAATTTGTCCCTGCAATCGGTGTAATTTTTTTATCTCAGAATGCGAACGCCGTCGTGCAAGCGCCTCATCGTCTTCAATTCGAGGAGCTTTTGTTCCGCTATGTACCCCACAAGGAGCTTTTGAAAAAACTCAGGCATGTGAAAGCC